GTATAATTTATTTTAATGTTTATTTGTTTTTTTTTATACTATTTATGTCTATAATATTCATTTTTATATTTTCTTTTTTCATAATTTATTTTTTTAAAGTATACTTTTCTTGTATTTTATAAATTACTCTTTAATTTGTGAATACTTTTATTTCTTTTTATATTATATTCCATAGCTTTGAAGATAACTAAATTAATGCTGTTAGTGTTAGTTTTACAGGGTATTAGAACACAAACAATGGAAACAAGCTGCGGCAACCACAAAATTCCTGTTTGTTTTCTGTTTTTACCCACCCAACCGATGTGCACACACATTGAAACGCACGAAAGGCTACAAAGCCAAAGAGAGAAGCACAGTGAGACAGCGAGAGAGGGAGAGAAAGATGCACAGAGAGAGAGAGAGAGAGAGAGAGGGAGATAGATATATACAAGTAGTAGAGTAGAACTTTGCAAGCAGTTTGTTATTAAATTCATAGTCAAGCAAGGTAAAGTGCTCAAGTCTCTGTCTATCTCTTTCTCGCATTCAACCGCCCTCTCCCGTACTCTCTGACATATAATAGAAATTTCGAAAAGTGCATCACTTACCATACATTTTACCCTCATCGGATAATATAATCTTTCTGCGTCCACATGGTGGATATATTGACAGTGCCTCTTGAAAGCTTTGCTCAATGTCCGGACTCCAGACACCTTCGGCATCAGCGGATGATAAATCTTTTTCGTCCTACAAGAAGAAGAAGAAGAAAACAAAATCAAACAGCCATCAGTTGGTTTAGTTCTCACATGGCTATATCTATTTAATAGTATAACTATGTGACCATAGCGCCTGGCACTTTCCTCTAATAATAAGGTCAATTTGATTAATTTCTTATGCTAATCGATTATTTATCGATTGGCAGGCGCAATTTGATCGCTTTGCGTCAACTGTCGCCAACCACTCGAATATGCAGGACTAAGAATATATGCAATTTGGCCCATTATATTTAGCCTAGTAACGGTAATTTCCCCATCGAATTGACTGAGGCATATTCCACCAGGGGTGTCATTTTAGCTTTTTTCCCGTCARATCTGGCTTTATTTGAAGTCCCAATGCGGGAAAAATTTGAAAACGGCGGGTTGCGGGAATTCTGGCTTTAAAAAAATTAATTTAGCTCTATTTTAGCTTTATTTAATTTTCACGATTTATTTTGCTTTTTATCTTTCTCAACACTAAAAATCATGAATACAAGTATCGATACATGATTTTATATCATACAATCTATCGAAATCATTTCGTGGTATGAGCAACAGGTCTTCTTTGTCAACAAAAAAACACTAACGTGCACGAATTGGATGGGCACAGAAAGAAAAAATTGATTTTGGGCAAACTCCAACAAAAACCACAGCAACAACCAACAGCACTTTTCCTCTATGTGGCAAATCACACATTAATTGCTCTCATCAACAACCTAGGTACTCTCCGCCAAACAAAATTATGCGACTGCATGAGCGTTTAGCGATTTAAACTACACCGTACTAAATGTACAACATAATTAAACATTCGTTGGCTCCTCATTTTCTGGAAGAAATAAGATTGGAAGCGTTAAATTTATTTTGGTTTTGGACAAATCAAGTGACAAAGCGGCTTGGTAAATAACAATTATTTATTAAACACCTGACCTCTCTTTAAAAGATTGAATACTTTATAATTTGTATATATGTATATGCATATACATATATCTATAATTTCTACGTTAATGGTCTTAGGTGTCGTTATTAAATACGTCTCTGTTGAGAGTGGAGTGATGATTTCGACGTTCCTGATTTGAATATTTCTCTTGAAAGTGGAGATATAGTTGAAGGAATCAAACAATTAAAAACAAATGAATAATCATAAATGAATTTAATTAAGAAAATAGTGTTTTTTAAACCCAGCTTTTATTTTGGCTTATTTTTTCCTGAATTTAGCTTCTTTTAGCTTCTTTTTTTTGCCAATCTGGCTCTATTTGCTCGAAAAATTATGACAGCACTG